CAACAACAACAACAACAACAACAACAACAACACCGACCGCCCCCGCCACCGCAACCGCAAACAACAGCAACAACAGCAGCAACAGCAACAACAGCAGCAACAGCAACAACAGCAACAACAGCAACAGCAGCAACAGCAGCGACAGCAACAGCACACAGCAAGCATTAACGACACAACCAAGTTTTGACGACACAGCAACAAATAACGACCAAGGCCTGCAGTGGCGCTGCTGACGTTTGCAAGGCGCTTCTGGAAGGACGCCGGGGATCCAAGTTTGTTAGACAGGAGCCGGCTTGGCAACGATGGAATGCTGTACTTCTTGGCCTTCGCCTCTGTGCGGACAACCGATCCTGAACCGGAGTATTTAGACAACGTGGTCCGGACGGTCATCATGTATCTCAGGCCCGACCGGATGATCGAGCAACCTAAGAGGTTAGAAGACAGCCGAGCCTGTCTTCTCGTCTTAGCTTTCAGTGGCATCCCAGCAGAGGCTTCAGCAATGCGGCACCAGGTCTAGCCGCCCAGCCGGTGACACCACCCGCGGCCCCGAAATCTGAGCAGCCGAGTCTTGAGACAGATAGACCGAGGTGCCGACCCCACCTTGCGAACTCAGCAAGGGCTTTGTGCCTTCGAGTTGGCGCTCGGGTACCCAAGCTTCTGTGAGTTTACTTCGGATAGTTCCCCGGAAGCTAACTCCCACTTTTGAGCTCATAATCATAACCGCCAAGCCTCCGGATTCTAGCACACGGTCTTTACCAGCGAAGCCATACACCCTTGGACTGATATGAAGGCACGTCCACTGTGCCCGAAATGTGAGAGACACTATAAGTTCAATGCAAGCGTCTTTTCGCTCCGCCACTCGGCCCAAGCCTTCAAATTGCAGTAGATCTCGAGAACAAGGAGACATGGGGTCCGAAGGGCAGTGGGTTCCGCCATTGGGTGTGAGTCCGCTTGAGTTTAGAGTTTTTCCGTTTTCCAGTTTCGGGTATCTGCGGCATTGGAGGATTCGTTCAGAGTCCGGGACGGCCATGGTGTTGAGATAGTGGGGTTGTGGGATTCACGCAGTGTTGATCCATTTGTTCGACTGGGTTCATGGGGAGCGGGGGCGACGTGAAGAAACCGGTTTGAAGGATTCCGAGCTCAGGTTCGATGCTACAGACCTGCGGCTTGTTGGTCAGTGTTTGTCCCTACAGGCCTCACTAGCCCATACTAGCCCATAGAGAAGCCGGAAAGGAAGGATGGATCAGCATTAGGCAAGCTCGCACTTGCGATTTTGCCTCTCTTTAGAGGGTGCCTCCTGGACATGTAGCTTATGTCTCCCTCGCTCTGCATTGCGGCAGTCTGATTACGGCACACACCCACATATACATATTTATGTGTATATTCGTGTTCATGTTTCTGCATTTTACCTTGCTCCTTGTTGGAAATGTCCGCAAGCAAATGTCGAAGCCTGAAGTATTCATTTTGGTACTCTATGTGCGGGACCCTATGGCCCTATAGTGGCACTCCTATAGCACTCTTGAGACCATGAAGACCAGGACTCGACTCGCAGCTGCTCTTCCCGAGGATGGCAACCCCAGAGTATGCCACTTTGATGCTATCGAGTACCAGGGGCTTAAAGGGTTTAGGGGCAAGCCCGCTGCAAAAAGGGTATTGTAATTCGGATTTAGAGGTTTGCTTCTGAGCATATGGTTTTCTTCAACTGGTGTTTCTTGTCAGGGTTTAGTCGGAACCAGCTGTTCTATGCTCCTGCGATTCAACAACAAGGCAATAATATGTATGTGTGTCAATTGCATACATACTTACGTACCTACACACATACATACGTACATGTATGCATACATACATACGTTTCGTAGCAGACATTCGGAAATAAAGACATTAAGACATACGGCTCGGCAACCCGGCAGGCAGACAGACAGCCAGACCTACATGCACACAACGCCATATTCACAGTCCACGTTCATTTGCGTACTGTAGGTTCTCATTTTTGTTACGCCGGCTGTCAGAGTGAGTGCACCTCGCACGACAGTAGACAAAGTCAAACTGTAGTCGCCGTTGTCGTTTCGGCCTTGCTGCTTTACTTGTTCATGGTTGCGCCTTGGATAGACTGGGTTCCAGAAACGATAACAACGCTTAGATGAGATAATGCAAATGTTTGGATCCAGGATTTCTCTTTCCTCAGCTACAAGTAGGATCAGACTCAACATTCTTCGGATTGGGGAGTCGCAACATCCTGATCCCCCAAACCCGAAGACAAGAAACCGAGTCTCAGCAGCCCTGAAACCAAAAAGCATAAAGCATGATGTCAGCGAGCAAGAGTGGCCGAACTGCAGTGAAAATCTTTGCGCTCGCCCTTTGCTGAGGACTACCTCTTCAAGCTGCTTCTGATTGGCGACTCAGGTGACTCGATGTGCGAACCGTAGTGACAATGATGCATACGTCAGGTTCGGTACTAAAATGTGTCGGCCTCGAAGCCGAGATCGGACGAGAGCACAAGCTTGGTAAGACTGCAATGCAGCCAGAAGCTATTAGAACGCAAGGTGCATCGGACCGCAAATGGATCGTTCGCCTTAATGCCAAGGGCTTGGCCATGTGATTTGTTGATTACACGTGTGCGTTCGGGCAGCATGTTCCCTCGCAGAATCCTCGTCTAGCACATATTTATGTTCTTGTTCTTGTGTAGAATGATTGTGCATTTTTCCATGAACTGTTTGCATCAGCAGCTCCGTGTTGAACGCTTGAAATTGAAAGACCGTTGGGTGATCCAACACTCACATCAGTACTGCACCTTCAAGAGTCCCGAATCTGCTGCCGGCATATGGCTGGGGTATGGGTTTGCAGAACATCCCATATAAGATTTAAGCCACTTGCTGCCAGGTGTCGGCAAGTCTTGCCTCCTGCTCCGCTTTGCCGATGACACCTACACGGTGTGCCCAGCGTTTGATCACATGCCACGGCTGTGTATAGTCGCGTGTACACAAAGTGAATGCAACAGTTGTGTGATGGTCCGTGTGCTCACCAAGATTTTGGAATTCACTGGTAGCGATTTCTGGCATGCAAGGCCAATTTTGTGCCAAGCTCAAAGACATGCAGACAGCTCCCACAAAATCTGCACCCAGTCGAAAGAAAGCAGGAGAGCTACATCAGCACCATTGGAGTGGACTTCAAGATCCGCACGCTGGAACAGGATGCCAAGACCATCAAGCTGCAGCCGCTTGGGCATCGGTTTAGAAGTTTAGCCGTCGGCACGTTTCCGGTTGACTAGCCGAGCCTCACAGTCAGGATGTTGGCCACCACAGTGCATCCCCGACCTTGCCAGGAAAATCCACGCTTGCTGTAAGACGACGACTACTCCCTCCAACTCACACATATCGAATTGCCAAGGATTTGGGACACAGCCGGCCAGGAGCGATTCCGAACGATCACGAGCAGCTACTACAGAGGTCGGGGTGGGCCGGTGTGAACAGCGGAGTCTGCGAATCGCTGATGAGCTTTTGGCCTTGCCAGTCCCCACGGCTCAGGCGCTCATGGCATCATTGTGGTGTATGACGCCGGAAGCTGAGCGGATGGTACCCGCACAGAGATCCTGGTCCTGCGTCAACATGTATGTATTGCAGGAACCTCTGCTTCACATGCGAAAATGCTGTGCGCAATACTTTTGTCCACACTCTCCAGGGTCTCTCTCGGCAGAAGGGCGCCTGTCGATGTCAGTCAGCTATTGCTGAAGCTGGTGGCAGGGTCAGCTCACTGAGTTCCTCGATTTGCCAGGTGACAGACAAGGAATCTTTCAACAACGTCAAGCATTGGGTACAGGCTTGCGGTCGGCTTTTCCCGGCCACATTGGGTATTGCTGCCATGCCCCACAGCCCGCCTGCATGAAATGCGGAAGTAGATTTCGAACAGAGGAGGAACAGGCAGCTTGCCTTTCCGTAGATTTGGCTACTTTCGGTTTCCTGGGTGCTAGGAGATCGACAAGTATGCGGCCGACGGTGTGAACAAGCTCTTGGTGGGTGGCTGGTTAGAATTCGGCTCTCCCAGAAAATCCGGATGCATTTGGCCATGAGCTGTTGACCCCGGATGCTTCATGAAAGCAGCGGCTTCCTCATGTTGACCCTGCTGAGGTAATAAGTGTGACCTGTCTTCCAAGAAGGTGGTCTCCTATGATGAGGCCAAGGACGCACATCGTGCCATTGATTTACGTGAAGTTGCTGGCTGAGCCCGCGTTAAACAATCCGTGTACGAGAAACAGATTCGGATTGTTCCAATGTTGTTCCACTTCAGGATCGCTTCTGTCAGGGTCATTCCTTGTTCAAGGGTCATGTTCGTTGATGGGATCCTCGCAGCTCTGACATGCAACCCTGTGCAGTCTTGACGAAAACACCCCAGCCTCCAACAAAAGCATTAGAACTAGAAGGCCCGCACATATGCTGGAAAGCCCTCTTCGGCAACCGCCGGAAACTTACCGACCGGTCACCAGGAGCTCGCCGACTCTTTCGGCATTCAGCACCTTAGCTGTTTCTGTAGTGCTGCAGCATGCTGCAGGTATTCCGAAAAAGCTCTTGATTCAGGGCAATTCCGCGGTGGCGTGGGTTCAGGATATTGGTTTCAGTGATGTGTGAGTTGCACAAAAAGATACAAACATCTACGAAGATCGTTGAGGTATTTCACTGTGTCGTTCAATAGTCGGCACTGATGAGAACATGTTTATAATTCAGCTATCGGTGCCCAATAAGCGTACCTTTGGCCGCGCAGCTGGAAAAGACATCAGAAGGCTGCACTCAGGCTTGACACGGGATCTGCGGTTTCGCCCGAGGTTCATGGAGACCAGTGCAAAGAATGCCCACAACGTCGAGCAGGCCGGTTTCGGGGGAGGAGCTCAACACTCGCCAGATCTCGGCTAGTTCTGACCGACGGGACGATGCGGAACCTCCAGTTTCCACATCTGATTTGGTTTCAAGCTTAGTGTCATGGCTTGCGGAAATCTTTGCAACATTTTACAACGGCTGCATGCATTAGATGATGGATGGGCAGTTGGTCTCATATGACTTGCCACTTTTTGCGTCGTGCATCCCTTACAACAGCTGCAAGGCGCGAACCAAACATCTTACAAACTCCGGGAAGCCCACACATCGAACTGCGGTTCGCCAAGCTGGGATGGTGCCCCAAACTCCCACGCACAGACATGCACTGGGTCGCATCAAATGTGTAGATGTATGCACTATGGTAGCCGCAAATTCATGCATGTCAGCATTCTCATGATACAAGGCCGACCTGTATTCGGTTTTTGTGTGCGAACCGGATGTATGCAATGGAAGTGTAGCTGGTGTGTCACTATGTCGCATATGGTACATGCACCAAGTCTTGTCCATGGTCATGCATGTGCAACACGCCATGTACATGCAGACATGGTCTGGGTGCATTCTATACATGTGTGAATTGTAAGAAATTGCGAAAGTAGATGAGAGACTGTTACCTACCTACCTACCTACCTACCTACCTACCGACCGACCGACCGACCGACCGACCGACCGACCGACCGACCGACCTACCGACCTTCCGACCTTCCGACCTACATACATATTGAAATACCTTTAAACACACACTTACATAGAACCAGATACATTCCTACGCATAAATACAAGCAAATACACAAATGCACACACAGATGTGCATATATATATATATATAAGATACATACATATACACATATACACATATACATACAGACGAGGAGGCCACGTACGTACATACACGCCCATCTATCCATCAATCCGTCCGTCCCTCCCTCCATCCATCCATCCATCCATCCATCGATCCGTCGATGACTGCATGCGTGCACACGCCACGAGTAAGTTCTTGCACAGCAGCGCGCAAGATGAAGTCGTTTCTATTCCATGCTACAACTACTGTTCATGCACGATGTAGAAGACCAGTACTTGCAGCACAACCATATGCGCGGACATGCTTTGTGAGAGTTGCCATTATCATTATTACCGTCACTGGCACTGTCCGCAACATGATCAGCAACATCGCTAAACGTGAACATGCGTACTTAAGTTTCGGTCGGCACATGTTCGTAGGTAGATATATCGCATATGTGTGCATATTATGCAGATATATATTGTGTGTTTGTTGAGGTGTGTGTATGTACGTACATACGTACGTATGTATGTATGTATGCATGTATGTGCGTATGTATATGTGTGTACATATGTACAGAATGAAATTAATTGTATATAATATGTCAACAATCTCTTCTTTACAAAATTAATCAAAAACTATATCATCACGTTCGTTCATGCTCGTGATGTTGACTTGTTTCTTTATGTGTGGACCTTTACACTCAAGCGCAAGGCTTTCCAGACCATGGCTCGCGAAATTAAGCAGCGGGTTGCCTCGCAGCCGCAGGCAAACGCCGGCCTCAGGGTTTTAGGGTCCTGGGGTTTGGGGCTTGAGTGCTCTTTTGGCGCTGGGCTCAAGGTTTCTTTGAGCTTCTAAGCTGGACCGAGCTTTTAAACTGTTACTCACTCATTGGCGCAAGTACACTGGTACATCGGGAGAGCTTCTTCCTTTCGGAGTTTAGGACAGAGAAAGCAGAGATGCGTGCACTGAGGAGAAGGTTCGACAATCGAGCTCGATTGAAATATGCATACGGATGCTACTGATGCTTTGGGCCGACAAGGGCAAAGTAAACTCCGTTGGGGAGAAGCAAGCGCGGGTAGATGCTCTTTGCATCAGCTATTGCAGCCAGGCGTCGTTCTCAGACGGCGTAGCTTTTGGAGCTCTCTTTCCCAGCCAGGCCAAGGCAGGGGCTGGCAGCACCACGCTGGGAGCCGGCCGCCCTGTGCAGCAGGGAGGCTGCTGCAAGTGAGGCCGTTTACGGGTTTGGGAATTAATTCAAACTAACATTCTGATTTCGGTATGTCGTCTCTGTCGGAGACGCCCCCCGTCTCATGTGCAAGACTGCTTGCTCAGATGCAGGCCGTATGCAGTCGTAGTTGGCGATGCTCAGTTCCGAGTGTTTCATCGTCTCGGGCTTTGGCAGTCGTTTCTTCGGCCTGGTATCTGGGTGATTGGTACTTGGCTTTTGTTAGTTGCTGTATTGGCTCATGGGTTTGGCTTCGGTGCATCATGGTATGGTGCTTCTTCGCAAGCTGGCCTGGCTCCTTGTAGTTCAGACCTGTCGTGAAGCCTTGCCTGCTCTGAGCGAGTCGGAAATCCCAGGCCTTCGGTTCGTCATGAACTGGCCCTAACCCCCCAGGTACCTACTATATAGGGTACTAGAGCCCCTACTGTAGGGCCCTGTAGTATAGGTACCTGGAAAGTTAGGGTGGGCTCTTGTTAAGGAGTTCTGTGTTTAACGCTTCGCGGCGTCCGCCTCGGCCCGGCTGTACTTGAAGCAGGTGCATTGTTTCGGAAAACAACGGGTAGGTCACACAGGTGAGGTCTGTGAGTGAACGAGCGCGTTTGCTTCAGAATGTTTCTTTAATGTCAGTATTTGTTTTCATGCTGAGGCTCTGAGCAACAATCCCACGTTCCCTGCATTATCTCATAGACGTTACTATAAGCGTCGTATCACACTTCTCACTGGTCTCGTATACAACCTCCCATTGGTTGAAAGGGGGATCAAGCTTTGCAGCGAAGTACAAGACGCAGCCCCAGAATTCCCAGGCCTGACGTGATGTAAGCCTCTTGGTCTGGCCTCGCCGCAAGGAAAGACGAGGGAAGCTGGGGAAGGGAGGGGGGGGGGCAGAGGGCTGTTCGCACAGAACAAATGCCCAAACCTGGCAGAGGTGCTCAAGGAAGCCGCCAGCATTCCCAACCCGAAATCCGATTTTTGAGGTGGCCCGGCTAGGGGATTAAGAGGTCGGGAAACCGGGGAATGTCTGTCAAAACCTCTGACAGCTTCCACGGGGGCCGAGGCGAATTTTAAGTTGCCATAGAAAGGAAACCACTACAGTTCACAACAGGAGCCCCGTCAACTGCGATTCACCGCCAGGCCGACTCGGATGGCCACGGGGTGATCAGTGCAGTTGTGAAGCCCGTGGGCAGGCGCATGTCCGGGGACCTTGCTCGCGCGAATGAGTGTTGGGAAGTTGGAGCACTGCTGGCTGCCCAGATTACACAAGGCATCTCGGAAGGAAGAACGGTGCGTTCAATTCAGACAGCTGCATGACTGCAAGTTCGAAGTCCCGAAGTGATATGAAGTCGGGGTATGGGAAGATGTACAACCAGCTGTGCAAGAATGTTTGCATGTGACCATGTCGATACAGCGGATGTGCTGGTGCTTTCTTCCGAATTACTATGGTCACAGGTCGTCGGTAGCTTACGTCAAAATTGCGGCTCTTGCCTGCTGACCAGTTCTGAGAAGGATGGGCAGAGAGAGACAGAGCGCTGTGACGATCCTTCGATGTGGGTCCGGGATATTCTGTTGCGTTATGGCGATGGTCTAGCGCCGGTTGTGAGACTGCATGTTCTATCATGTTCTTGGCTGCCGCTGCCGCTGCTGCTGCTGCTGCTGCTGCTGCTGCTGCTGCTGCGATTTGTGATCCAGCCGTTGGGAACCAGCCGAGGCGATTCACTGATTTTGCTGAAAAGTGGCAGTCTCACAGTGCAGACAGCACACAAAGGGCGGATCTTGGATGCGGGTTTTTCGAAGCCCGTGGCTTGCATGTAATGGGTAAGGCCGATGCGCAAGACCCTCACCCGCCCATGCAATCTTTCCGCCGTGCAAGACCCTCGCAGAGGAGTAAACGGGAGGTAGGTTGTTGCAGCTGCCCGTCAGATGACGTCAAGCTTGCCTTGAGTTTGACTGAGCTAACAAGAATAGTCATGATCATGTTGATGAATATTGCTATTCCGATATTCATTCGTACTATGATGGGAAATATGATAATCAAATCGTAGTCGTAGTATTCATACACTAACTACAGTAGCATCCATGCAGCGGCATAGAGAGAGATAAACATCAACAATAGCAATACAATCGTAATCTGTTCAAGCTCAGGTTCCTGTGAAAGAGCCCCAACACCTTACACTACGTATAGCATGGTAGAGCATAGTACGGTAATAGTATACCATAAACTCCCAAATCCAAAACCCTACTTCCAACCGCCTAAGCACCAAGAACCTCGCCTGGCATGTCCGAGAGTGAGAGCCGAAACTCTCTCGCACATAAGAGCTTGGCTTAAGATCAAGGTCCATCCATAGAAAGTGCTGAAGAAGTGGCGATTTGGCAAGAACAGGGTGGTCCATCACCTCTCGGGGTTTCTCAGGCAGAGGCTCGATAGCCTTTTGCTTTGCTTGGTGGACCTTTGTGGTCAGACTGCCATCGCGCCTCTTTTTTGTGGAATGTCATTACCGCCTTGGATTCGCCTTGAACGAGGAAAAGGATGCAACTGCAATGCCCTGCCACGCAAAACACTCAAGGGGCTGTCTGCACGCAGCCGGCACTTGTCGCGAGCATGAGGAAAAGCATAGGCAACCCCTCGCCCCTCTCTGGTCCTTGTTCGCCCCCAGCGGGCGTCTTTACTCGAGTACCCAACATCGTCGAAATCGATAGGATAGTGTCTCAGGGCTGATAGGTCGTAGAAATGCACCCTCATTCCTTTGGTTTGCTTGAGCTCCTTGTTTGTGACATTGTCTCCGCGCACAAGCATGATCTCGCCAAGTGCTCCCTGATCGAACTCTTTAACTCTTGGGTTCCGGCTTCGTTATTCTGTGCTGACTGCTTTCGGACGCACCCTCGAAGTGCCAAGGCAGCAGGGTGGTGTCGATGTGGAGGCCTTGCCTGCGCTGCGCCAAAACCCTAGACCCATCATCGGGTTGGGGTCCTGTGTACACTCAGGGAAGTTATAATTGAGCCATCATCGTAGACAGGACTCGGTACATCACCCGTCTTTGCAGGCGACACCAGACACTTGTGTAGTGTACTGTGGACGTACCAGTACTTGCGCACGCAAGTTGCCACCTCTAGGTCTATCTGTGAGATTCTATATGTTTCTGGTCCTGCAGCCGCGACGAAACCTCATGCCACCAAACATCACGGCCACCACCACAGCGGCCATCACCACCACCAGCACCATACTCACGGCTGGTGGATTGTTTCACTCTTGCAATTACGATAGTTTGCTACAACTATCTCGGTGATGATGTCTGCTATGGATGTGTGGGGTATGTCAATGACAAATGCCTTGGTGATGACAAAGACTGTTGTATTGGTGATGATGGTAATGGTGATAGTTGTGAAGATGATGCTGAAGATGATGAAGAAGAAGCCGATGCACATACTAGCATGCACATGCACACAGACATCCACACGCACGCAAACGCACACACAGGGATACACCGATACAGACATGAACGTGAACGTAGATATGAATGTCAAGAATCCGTGGGGAACAGACACTCATAGTGCGAGTACTAGCCGATACAGGCATGAAGCGAAACATGATCAGGCTATCAACAAGAAACGGGGCCTTTACAGGGCTTGGCATGCAGGGTTTCGATGTCCGACGGCAGCTGAAGAGACATCGCGACCCAGCGGTAGTTTCAAGAACGGCACTACAACTTCATCAGCATTAGCTCTTGCTCACGATAAGACTTGCAGCCTTCAGCATGCATTGGGGTCGCATGTTAAGACCGGCCGTCCGCTGGCACATATAGAGTCCACAGTCTTCCGCGGGCACGCAGCGGTTGGTCCTGGCGGAGATATGATGAGGATGAATCCAGATGCCAGCATGGATACAAGGGCTTCAAGTTTGCACGATATGCCGGACTACAAGTTGCCCTTAGCTCCGGGTCTCAGGCTTTGCTAAGTACCGGCCAGCCATGGTGTCACCATGTGGCGACGCTGGAGGGACTGTCAATCCGAGTGAGGTGCAGAAGCTTGTGGAGTCTTGGCGCTCGCCCGGCATATCATGCGGAATAGGAGACCACGCCTGCTACAGACGTTCCGATGAGTGAGTGGTCTAGAAAAGAACCATCGCGGATCCCCAGCGGATCCCCAGCGGACCCCCGACTTTTGATTGTAATGAGAACAGCATGTTATCAATGTAGCTTTCTGGCATTACAACATGAACTACTTGGAAAGTGCATGTCTTACGAGAGCATGTAGTGCTCTGGATTTAGTGGAGTTATTAGAAAGTGCATGTCTCGAAGGATGTTGCTTTGCTGGCAGGTTGGGTACTCCTTTAGCTTGCAAAGTGTCGACGGGCTGTGGCTTGAGTGGGACGGCTCGACACCTGAATCCTAGCCTGGGCTGCATAGTTCGGTTGCGCGGAGATGATTTTGTTCTTAGAAGGCTAAGGACCTCGTGCGGACATGGAGCATTGAACATGCCTCGCTTGGTAACTGAACTCAGACAACTCGTATTCGAGGTTTAGGCGATATCTTCCCGCCTGAGGAAGAGGCCGTCAGAGCCCAACTCCGCTCCGTCGACGAGCGGCTGGCAAAGCTCGAGCCCCGTGGCCGTGGGTTTCGGCTTCAAGACTTGGCCGGTGGAGAAGTTTCTCTTACTGATTCCTCCGGCACGAGACCGAGAAGCGACCCGGAAAGAGACCTTCCAGTATTGCAAGCTGTCATAAGAAGGACCGGGAACAGAACGCAGATGCTCGAGTGCCATGTGGATTTGGTTTGGGTCTCGGGAACTTGGTCAGAGCCAAGGCTTTGTGTGCAGACGCGGCTGCTTGCCCGATTTCATGAGACGGGAAGACTCGTTTCAGTCTACAGAGGAAAACCAACAGTGGCCTCAAACATTCCGGATACGCCGTGCCGGTCATTTCCTAAAGCTTTCATTGGACCCGGCTGTTGTGGCAATCTCCAGGCCGACTACTGTACTGTTGAGTCTTGGCACAGCTGTAAGGCAAATCTAGTACGGTAAGACGATCTCCGGAGTGGCAAAGCCAATTTTTCATGTCGGGCCTGTTTGGTTTAGGACGTGCGCCTGTTCGGACCTTTCTGCTTCTGCCCCACTTTGTTTGGCCTTACGTTGACACTGATCATGCTCATGCTCCTCGCAGTGCGGAGACCCGATGCGTGTCTCTGAGGATTGGTGTTGTGGATGTCGCCAGAGCGACTCTGGGACTGGCAAAGTAGAGCTATTGGCCCGTTTTTGTCCCTCGCAGCGTCGCAGTACTGGGATAGGTACGGGAACTGCTTACAGCTGCTTGTACTGAGGTCCTTGGACGCCGAAGTGCTGGGGGTGTGGTCGCTTGTCAGCGCTTCTTCTGCTTCTCTTGACCCAGAGGGCTGATCTTCGTCGCAGTGAGCCATCGAATGCAGCGCCTTGCAATTGGAGTTGCCTTGCGGCAGCGGCATCGTCTGAAAACACTGAGTTGCAGACGTAACTGACTCGCCATACCTTCGAATTCCACTCTCGAGTATCATGGTAGGCCTTGGCATTGTCACGTGAGATGAGTGACTGTATGTGACTGTTCTTACATATGATCGTCGCATGCTATTTGCACCATTTTTCCTTATTCGTCTCGCATGTACATGTCTTGTTATGTGTTCGAATTGCTGACATCCAACATTTATTGGCATTTATTGGCATTTTCATTATCATAATAGAAATCAAGAAATTTCGGGTGTAAAGTCTCTAAATGAGACCACAACAGTTCATGGCATCGTTGCTAGAATACATACGTTTCCAGCGACCCTCGTTCCCAGCACAACCCCTAGATGCGCCGGCACCCTGAAACATGCAAAGGTCCCCAGACACTGAAGTCCTGGAAGATCTGCAGCTTGGCTGCACTTTCCCTCGGTCCGTCAGTTTTGCTTTGCTTACTTTGACTACAGACGCGCAGCAAAGCCCTCGCAGAGGCTCCCGGATGTCAGAGTCGCACCCATGGAGCCATCCCAGAACTTGGCCGACCAGGAGCCAAACAGCGGAAAAGTTCCTTGGACTTTGTTGTCATTGGGGCTCGGGCCTCTGGCTTAGCTGGCGACTTCAGGTTTTCGTGCCGAGCTGGAGTGGTTGACCCCAAAAGAAGTAGCTTTTCACAGGAGCCATGCTTCGTTTGCTTGTGATCGTTGGAGTGCTTTACCGGGTATTCCGTCAGCTGCAGCACCAAGGCGACCGTCGAAGACGTGTGGAACTACAAGTTTGAAGGTCCCTTGTGGCGTGTGGTTCCATAGTTGGGACTCGCCTTCCTGTCGGTAGCACCACAGCAATGCCGTCATTCAGGAGTGTTGCTCATGATCGTTTGCACCATCAGCGCATATCAGCGCCAGAAGCAGCAGCTTGTCCGGCCGTAATGACAACCTGCGTAATCGATCTAACTCGGCCTTGCACCTTCACTATCATGATGGCCCATGGCCATCATCATAGCCGGGGGCTATTGCCTCTGCCATCATCAGCACTCCTAGAACCGTTGTGAATAACATACTTCTGCTGTCGGAATTTACGATCGACACGACCGCAATCATCACCGCCATTTTCAACATCATCATCATCATCATCGTCATCATCGTCATCAACATCGTCGTCGTCACCATCGCCAGCAGCACTGGCATCTGCCACCATGGCCATCGTCATGATCGTGTCCTTCACAAGATCGGCATCATCGGGCACCGCGGTGATGGTGGCGACAGCTGGTGTTCTGGTAGAATTATGTTGACTGGTGACTACCGCAAGCGCGATTGTTTGTAGCTCAGTGGAATGAGATTATCTTGCTGTTTGTAAGGTGCTGGTGCTGCTGCTGCTGCTGCTGTTGCTGCTGTTGCTGCTGGTGCTGTTGTTGTGGCTTCTTCTTCCGATCCACGTGTGGGCAGGGGCGGCTTGGGATGCCTCCGCCCTCGCTGGTCTCGGCATCTTCTCGTCGCAGGAGTCAATGCCACCTGTGCTGTGAACGGGGTTTTCTATGTAGCCGGCAGCGGTTTGTCGAATTTCAAGGCATGGTGGGGTTTGCGTGGACAAGTTTGGCCGTGTATGGCTGCAGGGAGCCCCGGGCAGCTCTTTGCCCGTGTGCAAGCGTAGCAATTCTGGATCTGATGCTGATGTGGTTACGAAACCCAGCTCCCGGCTGAGTACTGCTGCAGGCTACACTGTGAAGTTTACAGCACAGGTGGAGAGGCAACTGGCTGCCAAGGAGGGCAAGGGACGTGGGCAGGTACGGCGGAGGGGGGTAGAGGTAGAGGTAAAGAGAGACGGTAGAGTGTAGACATTCGCCGAAAGAACCAAACAGACAAAGAACGAGAGTCAGACTTTGCCGAGACTATCCAAACAGACTTTGCCTGGAGAGTTCTGGAGTGGATTCAAATCAAGCCCCGAACAGCTTGGCTGGATAAGTATTGTTTTCGATTGTAAGGGTCGCGGGTGCAAGATCTCGTCTCAATGAACAGGAGCATGACCGATTACTCCATGTGTCACCGGGAGGAGTTGTCCCAAACCCGCGCCTGACATGGAACGCTGCTTATCGTTCACAGCATGGTTCAGCATTTGTGCCGGCGACGTCATGATGGCAGCTCCCGATTTGAACTCACAGTCGACGCATTACCACACAGGGAAGTAGTAAACATACTGGTAGGGAGAGCACCTGCAACAGCAGCTGTGCCTGTGCAAGGTTGATCGTTTTTTGCGGCACCTTCTCCCTGCTGCTGCAAACGGTTTTTGCGATAATCCTGTACGACGCTTGCTTGCAGGATGGCCTTCTGGCTTCGGTTTGTATGTTAAGACGAGTAGGAGACTTCTTCACCATGGGATCTAGGGGTTCAGCAGTAGTTGCACAGTCGCAGCTGCACCCTGGCTTGCCCACCGCAAGGTCCTAAATGCCACGATTCTAGTCAAGCCGTAAGCCGCGAGAGCTCCATGGCCCCATGGCCGCTTGTGAAGAAAGCCCGGAGCTGTAAAGTGGGATCTCCCAAGAGATTGAAATGCTCCTGCGCCTAGGAGAACATGATTGAGAACATCTTCACAGATCAGCTCGTCCAAGAGCTTCGAGACTGGCGTGTCCTTTTCGGCTAGGGGCTTAGTAGGTCAGGGTTCGGTTTCGGGGTTCCGGGGTTGGCCCAAGAGCATCTTGTAGGCGGCTTGTTCCCAGGCCTATTTCAATAAGGTACAAGTATGTGGCAAAGTTCAGAACGGAGTATCAGCAGACAAGCCGACGCCGGAGTCGCCCACGAGCTTGTATCTTCCGAGCCGCAAAAATCCAAACACACCCACACACACCCACACAC